TTTAGATTAATATATTGTAAGTTGTGTTACAATTCAGATTTAATTTACTTTTTATAAGAAGTATATTTCCTTTATTTTCTTGGATCTAAGATAGCTATCAGATAGATAAACACATAATCTGACAAATAATATGATGAAATGCAATAATACCGTGAAATAGAATCCCAGTTTGAGTTTCGGCAAAGACCTATTTAAAGATCAAAGACTGCAATAGATTTTATACTTTATCAGAATGGCATAGGCCACACCAGGGCATTGTTTTTAGAATTTTTGCACCATAATGAGAAACCTATCTTCTTCTTGGGCACCTGTTGAATCACATTTATCTGCTTTTAAAGTAGAAAACAGGATAAAAATATTTAAAATACGTAAATTTTATAGAGTGATCCAACAAGGCAGGATCTCTAATGTTGAATTCAAAATAAGAGAAAAATACAAAAAACTTTATTATTAACTTAAACAATTTCCTGAGGTATGCTGTATGTCCAGATGCAGATTAATCATGGTGTTAGTAAGTGGGAAGCTTTATTAATTAGGTATGTTTTGATAATAAGGATAATTTTATTGGTAACTGGAAACCTCTTATGGACTTTTTCCATAAAAATAAAAGAAAAACAGACTTTGTGAGTTAAGATGTTGATGATTAGATAAGATAGATTGTAGAAAGAAGAGTCATGATATAACTTCAGAGGGAGAGCTTAAGATGTAATTGTACTCCTATTGCTGTGAAGAATATTGGAAGCCACTTTATGTTTTAATAATAATAATAATAATAATAATAATAATAATAATAATAATAATAAATCAATGGTGAGAGGCTGGGAGAGGTTAATATCAAGAGAGGACCATTTCAAGGAGATTCATTATCACCATTACTATTCGTTATTGCACTGTTTCCTCTTGTCAACAATACTGAATAACTCAGGACATGGCTATCAAACATCAAAAACATCTGCCAGACTATCCCACCTCCTTTATATGGATGATCTGAAGCTGTATGGAAAAACATCATCTGAAATAGAATCGCTGCTCAACACTGTCCGTATATATAGCCAAGATATTGTAATGGAGTTTGGCTTGGACAAATGTGCCACACTTACTATCAAACAAGGAAAAATAGTGAAAACTGAAGGAATCAAGATGCCCCACGAAAATAACATTAAGAGTCTGGATGAGGAAGAGTACTACAAATACTTGGGTATCCTTCAAGCTGACAACATCAAGCACACTGAAGTCAAGAAAAAGATTAGAGGTGAATACATCAAGAGAGTGAAGAAGATCTTAAAATCCAAACTCAATGGAGGAAATACCATAAAGGCAATCAACACCTGGGCAATCCCAGTCATTAGGTACACAGCTGGAATAGTGGACTGGACTCAAGCAGAACTAAAAGCAATGGATAGGCAGACCAGAAAAATAATGACAATGAATCATGCCCTTCATCCACGCAGTGACATTGATAGACTTTATCTACCAAGGCAAATAGGTGGGCGTGGAATGCTACAAGTACATCAGATGGTTGAAGAAGAAAAAATGGCTTTGGAAGAATATCTGAAGAACAATGATGAAGATGCACTGAAATTAGTATATCAGGAAGGCTTACTAACTACTGGAGAGACCAAACTGGCCTACAAGAAAGACCAAATGAAGAACAGAATAGAGGCATGGGAAGACAAAGCACTACATGGCCAATACATGAAAAAAAATAGCTGGGAAAGCAGATAATAATAAAACCTGGCAATGGCTAAGAGCAGGAAAATTGAAGAAAGAGACCGAGGGACTAATTCTGGCTGCACAAGACCAAGCCTTAAGGACAAATGCATACAAAGTCAAAATTGAGAAGACAGCAACAGACAGTAAGTGCCGCCTATGCAAAGAAGCTGAAGAAACAGTGGACCACTTGGTAAGCTGTTGCAAGAAGATTGCACAGACTGATTACAAGCAGCGGCATGACAAAGTAGCAACAATGGTGCATTGGAAGATCTGCAAAAAATATCATTTGCCTGTAAGCAAAAACTGGTGGGATCATAAAATAGAGAAAGTCATAGAAAATGATAAAATTAAACTGCTCTGGGACTTCAGAATTCAAACAGACAAGCACCTGCAACATAACACCCCAGACTTAACAATTGTCGATAAGAAAGACAAAAAAGTCTGGATAGTGGACGTGGCAGTGCCTGGAGACAGCAGAATAGAAGAGAAGAACTGGAGAAGATAACAAAATACAAAGACCTACAAATAGAAATAGAAAGACTGTGGCAAAAGCAAGCAAGGGTAGTACCAATAGTCATAGGCTCCTTGGGTGCAATCCCAAAACAACTGGAGCACCACTTGAACACCATTGGCATTGACAAATTCGCTATTAGTCAATTGCAAAAGGCGGCCTTATTAGGAACTGCTTCCATCCTGCGACGATATCTGTAATACCATCAAACATCCACATCTGCCTATCCCAGGTCCTGGGTAAGGACTCGATAGGTAGACAAAATGCCAAATCCAGTCTGAACATCTGGCTGACTGTGCAATGATAGATAATAATAATAAAGTTGGAAGGGACCTTGGAGGTCATCAAGTTCAAACCCTGCTCAGGCAGGTAACCCTATACCATTTCGGACAAATGGCTGTCCAGTTTCTTCTTAAAAACTTCCAGTATTGGAGCATTCACCGCTTCTGGAAGCAGGTTATTCCACTGGTTTTCTTTTTCTTATTCTATTTTCATTTCTAATTACATTTCTAACTTTTTATTTCTTTCTTTATATTATTTTTCTTTATATCTTGCTTTTTCCTTCTAGTTTTGTTTCTAACTGCACTTCTAGCTTTATGTGTTTCTTACTTATTTTTTATGCTCTAATTTAGTTTGTTGTAGTTCTTTTACTCTTCCCAAATCCTTTCATAAAAAATAGATTAAAAAAGAAAATGAGGTGATTTAGATAAGTAAAAGTCTTCTGAGTTTCAGGAAAGGCTTTCAGTGAGTACTTGTTAATGCAGGTTTGCATTTGGACATGCCTAGCTTTCCCAAAGGGAAAAAACCATCCCAAATAAATTGCTCTAGCTGACTTTTAGGATGGCACTTAACATTCAGTATGAGTGATTGAGCCTTTACCTAAGATTTAGATACAGGTAGTCCTCAACTTACAACCACAATTGAGGCCAAAATTTTTGTTTTTAACTTTTTAAGCAAGACAGTTGTTAAGTGAATCTTGCCCCATTTTACAACCTTTCTTGCAACAGTTAATTGAATTACTGCAGTTAAGTTAGTAACATGGTTGTTAAGTGAATCTGGCTTCCCCACAGATTTTGCTTGTCAGAAAGTCATAAACGGTGATCATGAGACCCTTGGACACTCACAAATATGAATCAGTTGCCAAGCTTCTAAATTTTGATCATGTGCCCATGGGGATGCTGCAACAGTGTGAAAAACAGCCATAAGTCCCTTTTTCAATGCCATTATAACTTTGAATGGTCACTATATGAACTGTTGTAAGTCAAGGACTACATGTACTACCGGTATGTACTTCATTGCTAAATAGAAAGGTTTTGCCTATAGAAAATTTCATGGTTCTAATTTTGCTGCTTTAAAAGTGCTTTGAAGAAGAAAAAATATCTTGTCAAGAAAAGTGGGCAGATCCGATGGAAGTTATAGTGCTATATAATAATTCAAAATCTGCAGACAGCTCCCTTACATTTATTGCAGGAATTAGATATTCATGAAAATAGCCATATGTTTTTGATTGAAAAAGTATTCTGTTCTTTAGAATCACAGGTTGTGGAATGAATATCAGTCAATATCAAGAGTGTAGAATCAGTCACCAAAATTGGCAAATGTGATCCACTTCCGATCCAACAGCCAAAAGTCATATTTGAAAAGGGATTGGTAAAACATGGTAAAGAAGAAAGCAGAGATTATGAAATCTGTTTAGGAAGTTTAGGGTTCTTGTTCCAGAGGACAAAGTGGGTTGTTAAAAGTGTTGTCTAACACTTTCCGTATGTGTTTTTGTGTTCCTGTTGGTTGAGTTTCTCCTTTGCAAAGTTTTTTCTTTGCACTGGTTCTTGACAAGACTGTTGCTTCCAACCTCCCAGTCTAGTATTCCTGCCCCTCTCAGCAAATGCCTTCTCTAGCCACTGGGATAGATATTGCTTAACTAATAGAAGTTGACGTTTCAGATCAAAAGTAGTGAAATATATGCAGGTGGTAAAAACAGGATTCTGTTCAGCTGCAAGGCTAGAACATTGATCAATGGCTAAGGGATGTTTTATGGCTTCCATATTTATGCTTTTCACACATATCAGATTCCTGTATTCCTCATAATTCAGATTAGTAATTACCCAAAGTTTCTGGATGATACATCACAATTTGTTCTTTTTATTTGGGAGTAATTTTAGTATCCATGACAGCTTTTATAGTTTAAAATTTTTAGAACAAATGTATATACCATATTGCATATTTGCATTCCTTTATATTGCATCTGAGCATAATAATAAAATCAAAGCAGATAAGTAATATAAGTTTGCTTGATGGGGAATGGCTAATGTTTGCTCCTAAGAAATGTAAACATAAACTGACAAACACTTCATTAAAATTCAGTAAGAAAGGCTGCATTCCAGGCTGTTAACTTGGGATCAAGGGCTTGGTTTTTGTTGAGTGCTGTTCTATGTCCTATTCTATTTGACCATTCCCAGTTCCATCCTCTATAGGCAAGTTCTTTCTGCTTCAAAAAGTATGTAGTTTGAACCACATTTATTATATTGTAAATTGTGATGTATGCATAACTTGAAATCTGCGTTATGGTAAATTGCTGGTATCACTCCTCAACTACTGTGTGAGGACTTCCCATTAATTTACAAAATGAGAATGGCACACTGGTATTGACCATAAATACTACAGTTGTTGGTTTATATTGTTTCATGAGAAATAGGGGTCCTAAATAATGTGTCTTTGATAATCTTTTTGGCCACTTTTATGATTACTAATAGTTGCATTATTTTTTCCATCTTTACAGAATATTTCATGAATTCTACTCATTTTGATGGAAGACGACCATTGTCCGAATGTGAATTCTTCATTAAAATACAGCCATTTTTTCCTATTTTTTAAAAGCAGCAATTCAAATACGGTAGAAGGATAGCTTGCTAGTTTGGCTCTTTACTTTTAGCTTTAATTGAACGCATAACTAGGAACAGTAGGAAGATAGTAATAATTGAATCTTGTATCTTCAAGTTGCTTTTAGTTCCTTACCAAGGAAACTTAAGTGACATTATGTGAAAAGCCTTTCAAAATACTTTTTTAAAAAGCTAATTTTTAGCAACTATTAAAAATGAATCCTGCATTTTAGCACTTAATAAGAACAAAGGTTTGCTGCACCAGAATTTGCAAGACTCCTCAGCATCCTTTCCCCCTGTCCCTTTGTTTCAAATTCATTTGTTGCAGAAGATGAACAAAGTGGATTTGTGAAATTCACCATTAATTACGGTGCTTTTCTGAATGCTGTACAAATTTGACAACTACTTTTGTAATGTAATAGCTGAATTACACAGCATTGTGACAACAGGGAACAGTTTAATGAGGTGAATGTAGTTATAGCTTTCCAAAAATGCACACTGCATTTTAGGGGTTTTTTTCTCATATGAGTTCAGAGAGCATTTAAGATGAGCAGCTAGAGGGGTAAGGGGTGCAGTCAGCACGAAGTGCGGCTTCTCGTGCTTCCTTTGGGACTCACCATTGCCACACAGTTGGCATAGGTGCACCCTGGCGAAGAAAGGAACCTGGAAATCAAAGTATTAAAGCGAGAGTGGACTACAAAGGCCAAACTGGGTAAGTCATTGTAGGACTCTGTTTATAGTTAAAAATAACACATGTTTAATGCATTTGTGTAATGCATTTGAAGAAAAGTTTTTAAGTTGTATATTATAAGTAATTAAATTAGTGAGCTATTTCTAGATAAGTAGAGGTCAAAATAATTTGAAAAGAAAACCCTGGTAGTGAAATATTATTTTGGAGAGGAAAATTACACTAATTCTTCCTCAGTTTTATTTAGTTCCAGTAATGATGATGGTAGAACGTGGCCTCTGATGATTTTGACTGAAGTGGCTTAAGGGAGTTAAACTAAACAAGAATAATATAGCTACAGTAACTCAACCTGATACTGAGTCAAATTAAATTTCCATTAGTTCCTAGAAAGATGGTAAGATGTTTTCCAGACTCTTGGAAGCATGCTCTGAAGAATCTGCTTTTTTCCATTGCTTTTAGTGGGGCTGACAGTGTATGTGGCCGTTGTTTTGTCTTAGATCCTGGCCATGAGGTTTGATGCCTCACTTTATTGAAGAGAGACACTGGACCTAAATGGCGCAGCATGACTTTGTTCCTGCCTGGCTTAACTTCTCTACGCCACAGTCTGCCAAGGTAATTATTAAATCTTAGATCAATTGCTCAGAAAAGGTTATGGTTAAATTGTCATTTTGATTGTGAAATGCGTAAATAGCATTTATTTTCACATTTCTGAACTTCCATCTCCCTATTATGCTGCATAGTTACAAATTTGAAGGAAAGCGGTCTTAAAACTTTTCTTAAATGCTTAATCAAAATATTTTTGTGGTTTAGATATAGCATCCAAAGATTTGTGCCTGTGCAGAGCATTATTTCAGAACATTCTAATGCTGATTTTTTTTTTTTTTGGTAGGGACTCTATTCTATATTGCACACACTTTAGCATTGGTAGTGCCATGTACTCCAGTGGCTACACTGGGAGTAGTGTGTATTGACTATTTCTCTTGGTCATTGCTGAGCTTTTTCTGTCATCCAGTATTTCTCTAGATTTTGATTCCATTTGCTATTCTTCTATTAAATCAGTATTTTTTAGTGTTTTATAGCTGCAGGATCCAATCTCGGTCGGTCACTAGGGCCAGAGGTTTTGTTTTGTTTTATAGCTATATGATGGGCAAAATAGTTTGGTCTTGGTCTTTGACTTTGTAGGTTTTCTTTTGAAAGTAAATTAACTGAACAATAAAGAACTGCTACAGAGGAATATTCTCTGCTTATGTTAAAATCATCAGGTAAAAACCTGTGTCTGTTCCACAACTTTATCAAACAGATATATTTGCAATTGTTTGTTACAGTGATTATGAGCAATTTCCATTTTAAGAGGTTTTGGATACTGAAAGAATTCAAGGAAAGCAACCAGTATCCCAGTCCAAGTAATGGGCAGAGAAAACAGAAGACTGAGAAAATTACAAGGAGGCAATCAGAAGAATAGGTTTCTCTAGACAGAAGAGTAGTATATCTGAATTTTTGTTTTGGTATCTTGGTATTTTTTTGACTGAGGTTGGCTGTAAGCCAGATATAGGCAAAGACAACCATGCTGGAATCTAGTTAATTTGATCAGCAAGCTAGGATCAATAATGCTAGTTGCTATATAGGTTCTATTTTATTTTAGGATCTAAGATAATGGGGTGTGAATTTAGTTTGAAGAATGTAAGATCCTGAATATAGGAAGAAGTTGATTATTGAAAACAAAATTTAATTTCTTTGCCCTTTTTCTTTTCAACTTTTTTTTCTAGCTCTGCTATATATAAACCAATAGTGTGTATTCTGGGGAAAATGTCCCTTTACATATTCCTTACTCTCAGGTTAAGCTCCTGGAAGAAAGGGCTATAACTTACCTCATGTAGGTTAAACCAGTGATAGGACTTTCTCTGAAGAACAGTGGCTGATGACAGTACATCTAATTAGATCTACCCAGGAATTGTAGGGAAAATACAATAAGTATTGGGGGGGGGGATTAGTTCTCAAGCCATCATATTATGTATGTCCTACTATAGTCCTAATGTCAGCTGTCAGTTTCATAATAAGCATTCCTAGTGATAACTCGGAACACTTCATTTAATCTCATAAAACTTTCCTGACTACAACCAGCCTTTTCTCAAACTAATGTATTCTCAAATATGATTCCCTTTACAATGTATAATCACATTTTCTCTTATATCATTTATTAACTTTATACAGAATTCCACTACGTGTAATATACCATTATGTAAGCTAATCTGATCCAAGATAAACCCCTGCACAAGGATTGTGACGTGGCCTGCAGCGATGCCACCCCCATGCAAGGGTCGTCTCGTGGCCCACTTGCCACCACCCACACAAGGTTCATGGCAATGCTGCCACCTGCGTGGGGCGTGCTGCCGCCCACCTGCTGCTTGCAGCACTGCTGCCTCCGCCTAAAGTTTGTGGCAACGACACCCACGCAATACTAGCGCCGCTACCACTGCCTGCACAACACTCGCATCAACAGTGGAACAAGGGGGGGTGAGCACACTCACACGCATGTGCACTGCCCAACTACTCACACAGCCCAGCGGCCAAGAGGCTGTGGCCAGGTAATTGCCTGCAGCCCATAGGTTGGGGACCTCTGATATAGACAGTCATGTTTAAGTATAAGATATGTAGAAAGAACATAACAGAACATATATTTTCTATGTCATTGTTATAACTTAAATCATTGAAATTAAGAACAGGGACCTATAAAGATTTAAAAGATTCATGAAGGGATTTTAAATACACACAACTCACACAGTGTATATAAAGTATCGGAGTCATGGCTTCTTTAATCATATTTTATTGAATAAATCACATTTAACCAAAACCAAACAAGCCAAGCTATAAAACAAAAGGCAAACAATGTGATTGTTTATAGATATTAAATGTTGAAAACAAAAATACGAAAAAATAAAAGTTGATAATTAGCACATTAACTCAACAGGAAATATGGAAAATGCTTCATGCATGGAACATCTAGAGTTTGATCTTCTAATCTGGCAGAGATTGAAATGGAGCTACTTGATTTAGACTGAAATAGTGGTTGTGGAACAGGGCATTAGACGTTCAAAAGAGAGAAAATGTAGGGAATATATGAAGTACTGTATATAGACTACTGAGTTATGTCACTGGGATATGTGATGTGGCAGATGGAATGTGTTGCAGAGATAGGCCAAAAGCATGTTGATGGGATGTGCCACATTGGGCAGGAGTAGCAGCAGTTTCACCAAACTCATCTGATTCCTGGATATATATATTTTTTTACTTGAGCATATATGCAGTTACCACAATTTATTGATTTGTAACTGTTTTATTTAGTGACATGAATTTTAGACCTTTCATTCATAATTAAAACTGTCTCTTCATTTTCATACATATATTCATCAGCTCTATACAAAATCAGATTACTATCATATATACTGCTCAACAAAATAAAGGGATCACAAACGTATAGGATCCTATACGTTTGTGTTCCCTTTATTTTTTGTGAGCAGTATATATTGCATTCATGTAATATATATAAATGAGTACTGTATACCTTGGCTTACAATGGCAGTGGGGACTGGAGTTGCTGTGGCTAAGTGAGGGGATTATACATAGTACAGGTAGTCTTTGATTTACAACAGTTCGTTTAGTGATTGTTCAAAGTTACAATGGCATTGAAAAAAGTGACTTATGACCGTTTTTCACATTTATGACTGGTAGTGTCCCTGAGGTCACGTAATCAAAATTTGGACACCTGGCAACTGGTTCATATGTATGACAGTTGCAGTGTCCTGGGCTCACATGGATCACCTTTTGCAGCCTTCTGACAAGCAAAGTCAATGGGGAAGCCAGATTTCACTCACAACTGTGCCACTAACTTAACAACTGCAGGGATTTTGCAGATTCACTTAACAACTGGAGCAAGAAAATTCATAAATGGGCAAAATGTCTCACTTAACTGAAATTTTGAGTTCAATTTTGGTCATAAGTCAAGGACTACTTGTAGTTGCAGTTGCAGTTGTTAAGTGAGAACCTCACATGACTGCAACTTACAACTTCAGGTCAGCTTCTCCCTTAACTTTGTTTGGGGAAAACTGACAGGTGACTTTAGAAAGTGTGATCACATGACTGTGAGACTGTTGCAGTGGCCATAACTCCAAGAACTGGTCATAGGTCTCCTTCATTCAAACGCCAACACAAATTTCAATGGTTGCTGAATAAGTGATCATAACTGATGACCATCTATAGTTACTGACCTTCCCAGCTTATAATTTTGGCCAATTGGAGCTTTCAGATAATACCTTTCAGTAAGATAAAGTATAGACTATATTGCTATTGTTATTTGTATCCATGCCATATGTAGCATTCACTGTTAAAGAGAGCTCTGAACGTTTTGGTTACAAGTGCAACCAAAGGCCAGATATACCCTAACAGTGTACTGTTCTATGCAATCTGATATCTTTAATCTAGGCTGCAAATTGACATAGTAGTAACTGTTATTATATCAACAAAAATATGAAATCATAGCTGCGAGATCTTCCCAAGAGCTTAGAATGCTATACTGCATTAGCATAATATGCAAGTCCAAGCAAGTGAAAATATTGTCAATGTGCATATTTTCTAAATGCCGTCCAAAATATTTTGATATGGCACCGTGTGTCAATAACAAGTAGCAACCACCATAGGCAGTTTATGCCATAATCTTTCCAGATTCCACATCCAGATTCAGTCACAGTTTTGTTCCATACAGTATTAACCTTGTGAACTCTCAAGCTTCCTCCTTCCACTGTATATTCAAGATGGACAGTGATTAATGTTTTTATGTATTTATATGTAAGGGCGTAGGTATATACATGTGTTGTATATAGCATGTTTATATGTGTGTTGTGTATGTGTACACTTTTGAGAGCAAGCAACATAATTTCATTTTTAATGTGTCAATGTGCCCACAGTAAAAAATGACAAAAAGTTTTATCTTATTTTATCTTCAGTTTTGATTTTCAGATCTTGACACTTTGTGATCTCCAATTCTTTGTCTTCTATTCTACTATATCCTAATATTGCCATATCAATTATCCACATTTTCTTCTTTTCAGCCTGTTAAATCTGTTGTGTTACGGGCAAAGATTTTATCAGTTTGTATTTGAAAACTCCCACAATATTTTCACCTCATTTTTGACTATTTTTTGAATTATGTTCACACTAATTTTTCATTACTGGCACATGTAATTTTTATAGATGTTCAGTTTTACCACCTGTTGCTGTTATTTGTGGCTTTCTGATTTCCAAAGCTTCTTTAATTGTCTGGTGCTAAGCGAATGTTTTTTAATTAGGCTTGATCTGATTGTTACGTTCTTCAAATTGGGGTCTTTTGTGGGTTTTTTTAATTACTTGTATCTGATCTTAATAGAATATTCTTTATTGGCCAAGTGTGATTGGATACACAAAGAATTTGTCTCCAGTGCATAAGCTCTCAGTATACATACAAGCAACAAAGTCATAAATCATAAATCATAAAATACAACCAACAAAGTGATATCATAAGATACCAATAGGAGTAGGTAATAGAAAAGATAAGAAGGATAATAGTAATATAGTCCTACTACGTGGTTAGATATCCTTAGACATAAGACAGTGCTGTGGGAATTGGGTGTTTAGCGGAGTGATGGCATGGGGAGGAGGGTTGTCTTTGTGTCTATTTGTTTTGGCATGCAATGCTCTCTAGTGGTGTCTTGAAGGGAGAAATTGAAACAGTTGTGTCCAGGATGTGAGGAGTCTGTAGATATTTTCTCAGCTCTCTAGCTTGTGCAGCATACAGGTCCTCAATGGAAGGCATACTGGTTGCAACTTTTTTCTGTAGCTAGGGTGGGAGGATGGAGCTTACCATTGAAGCCAGGCCTCCCATGGATTGACACTTGCCTTGCTGACCCACGTCTTCTGTGGCCAAAGGAGCAGCTTCATTCTGCAGCTGAGAATGGAGCTCCAGCCTGCATTTCGCAGTCAGAGAGCTTTCCGGAAGGCCTATGCAGCCGAGAACCAAGCTATGGATTGAATCTGAACAACAGAGTGGGGGCCCTTTATCCTAGAGCAGGGGTGTCAAACTGCCAGTCCGCAGGCCAGATGCAAACCGCGCCCACCCCATTGCCGGCAGTGGCAAAAAAAGTCACCATACATCATGACACGTCACGTGACGTTGCGAGTTTGACATCCCTGTTCTAGAGAGTAGGCGCTGCTACAGAGAAGGCTTGCTTCTGGGGGTTTGTTAGGTGACATTATTCAATTGCAAGATTGAAGTGGTCTGTCCAGCAGATGCTATAGGAGTGATATGCAGTGTATCAACATACTCAGGATATTTTGGTAAAACCACACATTTAGTTTAAAATGGAAACTTAATAGAAAAATGTGACATTATATTCTGACCTTTGGAATAGAATATTTTTCAAAATGGTAAAATCTGTTTCCTCACCTCAGATCTTGGCCAAATTTCTTATTTCTTTAATTTTAATTAAAAAATGTGTTGATGCCTGCTGCCTTTTAAAGAGTGTACGCTGTTGTTGGAAAGTTGCTCATATTCCACCAGTGGTATCTAAGCAAGTTGATTAATAAAGTGGTACATTGTTGGAACAAGAAACAAATTGGTTTCTGCTCTATTTTATAACAAAGTAGACAGATTTAACAGTAGGTTCGTTTAATCTCGGGATATGATCTGAATAATGCATTTGTATGAAATAACCCCATGTTTGGTTTTTTTTAAATATAGTAATTTGTTCTGGAGGATATATTTTTATATAGGTTGTAAATTGAGACTTATCAATTTAGTGTGCTGTAGTAACAAATATCTTATTAATTTTTTATATATATAGCATATTTTGGAACTATCTCCTTACAGAGTAACTTTTGCTGTATTGTTAAAGGTTTCAAATGAATTCTGAGAAATATTTTAAAGATTGCAAAATTATATTGTTAAGCCTGATACATAAAGTTATCCTATGTGTCTTACCATGTGTGACTTCAATTACTTTTAAATTTGCTGTTGACTTGCTTTTGAAAATTCATGTATATGTGACTGTATATACTATTAATACTATCACAACAGTTTTTACATGATTCCCTTTTATTCATAGGCTCCTGGAGCTACTTTTGAAAAGCATGGAGAACATCTTCCTCGGGGAGAAGGCCGCTTTGGTGTAAGCCGGAGACGCCACAACTCTTCCGATGGTTTCTTTAATAATGGCCCCCTCAGAACTGCTGGAGGTATATAACTCGTTGTATAAGTAAACAGCACGAGACAAAAAAATAGACTTGAACTTCAACTGGTGTCCCCTCCCCTCCTTGCTGCCATTTTGTGGTTTCCCACCCTCCAGTTTTGAACTCCAGTAGTTTGATATTCTAATAGTATCAATGATTTCTCTCAATTGAATATCAGTTTATTAGTCAGGAGATGCTCCTCTAATGAGATTACATTGTTGTATCTAATCTTTTGCAGAAGCTCTTATATATTGTGGTATTTTTTCAAACAACAACATACCTTTGTTTATGTAACTACTTCATTTTATCCAGACTGCTGGCATCAGCCTTCCCTGCACCGCCATGATTCTGTGGATTCTGGTGTTTCTAAAGGAACTCATGTTGGGCTAGCTGGCAGTCAGCCAGGTTGGCATGGTTCTTCACGTGGCCATGATGGCATGAGTCAGAGAGGAGGAGGAACTGGATCTCATCGCCATTGGAATGGCAATTTCCACTCCCGAAAGAATTCAGCTTTTCAGGAAAAGCCAACTGCTGAAGCTAGGGAGGAGAAAGAAGAGAAGGAGAAATTGCAGTTTGAGGAGGAAGATTTTGTAAGTATATTCTGAATGAAATTTCAAACTATTTTCTCATCAGCCCTGGAATATTTCTAGCTACAACAAATATTATGTAAGAAGACTGTCATTTCTATAATAAGATTTCTCTTAGCTTTCTTTTGTACTGTCTGTGTATGCCTCTTATCTGCTCTACAAAATTCCCAGCTATTCTAGAATGGAATAAGGAAGGAGATAATAAATTCATTCTGTACCTAAATGTCTTTTGATTTTCATAACATGTATTAGGGGACTGGAGGCTAAAGCATATAAGAAACGGTTGCTGGAATTGGGTACGTCTAGTTTAATGAAGAGAAGGACGAGGGGAGACATGATAGCAGTGTTCCAATATCTCAGGGGCTGCCACAAAGAAGAGGGAGTCAAGCTCTTCTCCAAAGCACCTGAAGGCAGGACAAAAAGCAACAGATGGAAACCAACGAAAGAGAGAAGCAACCTAGAACTAAAAAGAAATTTCCTAACAGTTAGAACAATTAATCAGTGGAACAACCTGCCTCCAGAAGCTGTGAATGCTCCAACACTGGAAGTTTTCAAGAAGAGACTGGACAGCCATTTTGTCTGAAATGGTATAGGGTTTCCTGCATTCCTATTGGTATAGGAATCAGCATCAATAATTTTGTAGTCATAAATAGAGGGACTTCAGGTGCCCAAGATTTCTTCTCCTAATTGTGCACCAAGTGTCATCAGGCTTCAAAACATTTATAATTGATTCTTACGGTTTTAATGTACAACACTTTTCTCCCGTCAGAATCCATTACAAAACAAATACGAGATTCTATGTACGTAAATTGACCTAATGTTAATATATGTAGAGGGCATAATATTGGGTCAAATGCTTATTATTAGCTGGAAAATTTAATGAAATTGAAAGTCTGTAACAAAACATGAAATGTGTGTGACTTTTGTTTTGTGACTGCTTGTTACAGCCATCATTGAATCCAGAAGCTGGAAAACAGCACAGCCAGGGTAAACCAGCTGGAACTCCATCTGGTGTTTGGGGTAGGTACTTGAGGCATTGGCAGAGAGGTATTTTCTGTAGTTGTAGAAATAGTCTTAATCTTGTTCTATTTAGTCTATAGTCTATTTAAAAACAACCAAATAGTTTTTCTTCTGTGTTGTGTTATATTAGAAATTATACTTTAATAATAAACTGTAAGAGGCTTGCCTATTTTTAGGAATGGTAGAATATTGTGCAGAAACTAGATATGGGTACATCGTCCCATTTTCTCCCAGATTGGCATTAGTATTGATTCATAAACCTCAGATATTTATGCATACTCAAGAGATGCATGAAGAACCTAAGCACCAAAAGTTGTAAAAAAGTGCTTTTAAATATCATACTTAGTTGATAAATTTCATAGGTCCCATAAATGGAGGAAATACTAAGCTTCTTCCATGTTGTTTTATTAGAAAATCCTCCTAGTGCCAAGCAACCTACCAAGATGCTGGTCATCAAAAAGGTTTCAAAAGAGGATCCTGCTGCTGCCTTCTCAGCTGCATTCACATCACCAGGACCTCAGCTTTCAAATGGCAACAAGGCAACCCCAATTGTCCCAAGTGTCTACAAAAATCTGGTTCCTAAGCCTGCAGCACCCCCATCAAAGGTACACAGAATACTAGTGAGAAGCTATTATACTAATAATAGGGACAGTTGAAATTATGTTACAATAATATAGTAATACAGTATAAATATCTCTGCTATATTAATAGGGCAATCAAGTGCATTGTTTGTATAAAAATAAACTACTAACAGTATAGGAGGATCCATGTGGTCTTCCCGTCTTTACTATTGGAAACTTGATTCAACTTTTTTTATATTTTAGCATTGTGTAGACATTTAAAAGAAGATGGCCTTTTTTGAAGTTCTTGGGAGTAATAGGTTATTAAACGGTTGCAGTTGGACGTTCACACCAGGGCTCAGTACAGAGACAATATTGGTTGCACTTACAAATGATTTTTGGCAGAGCTAGACTGGAGTGGTGCATCAATTCTTGTACTCCTTGATTTCTCAGCCATGATACTATCAGCAGCAGTATCCTGGACTAGCTCCAGAGGCTTGGAATGGGAAGCACTGTGTTGCAGTGGCAAACCTCTTCCTCTGTGGTTGGTTACAGCTAGTGTTGACAAGAAGGGAGAGATTGCACCTGTGGCCCCTCACTTGTGGGGTGCCTTAGGATTCAGTGGTCTCTGTCTTGCTGTCTAACATCTACATGAAATTGCTGGATGAGAAGTTTGGTGTAATCAGCATACTTTACATTTCAACCCCTGATGGTGTACGTGAAACTGTTGAGATACTGTTTCATTTTCTGAAAACTGTCTGGATGGAGAGGAATAGCTTTCAGTTCAATGCTGACAAGATTGAGTGGCTCTGGCTGCCTGGGTCCCGGAGTTGGGATACTTTCGCTATTGCTCTTGGATGAGGCTGTATGTACTTTGGCATTCAAGACAGGTGCACAACCTTGAGCTCCTAGACTAACAGCTACTGCTGAGAGCAGGTGGCAGCTGTGGCCTGGGGACTTTGGTACAAGTTCATCTTGTGCACCGGTGTGCTCCTTTCTCAGTTAAGAGTCCTTACAGTCACTCGTGCTCTGCTTGCCTCACAATTAGACTTTTGCAATCTGTTCTACATGGGGCTATCCTTAAAGATCATCTGGAAGCCACAGCTGATTTAAAATGGAGTGGTATGAGCAATAATAGCCACTACTCACTCTGCATTGGTTACCACTTGGTTTCTTGGTGCAAATTCATGGTTTTTAAAGCTGTTTATGGCATAGGGTCTGGTCATCTGAGGGACTGCTTCTTTTCCACTGTTTCTGCCTGCCAAGTACATTCAGGCAGATTCAAAAGGAAGCATCTCTTCACAAATACGGTTGACAAACTCATTCTCCTCAGGTTCCATAAAGCCCTTAAAACTTGGCTTTGTTCTGACACCCTGAGGTAAACGCGTTGGGTTGTAGAGTGGCTGTTTTTAATCTAGGCTGTCCTGTTTTGCCTGTTTTTCATTGTTTTAAATGGTATTAGATTTTGCAAGAATCTATTGGAGTGAGTGGCCATGACAAAATTAATAAATAAAACATTTTTCTTCACTTTCACTTTCTAGCACTTTTTTTTTTCTTTGACCTTGGACAAAATATATGTTGTTATTTTTCCAAATCATTTGATATTCTGTTAGCTGTTATTAGGCTCTGGAATATAGCTGTGTCAGATAAGTGTATGACGGAGATCCCAAAAGGGGCGTTTTAAATAAATGGAGATTTTCAGAAGACAATATTTTTACTAAGTCAATATTGATTTTATGGAAATGTATTGCTATTGTTACTGTACATTTCTTCATTATAGCCAAATCAGTGGAAATCTAACCGAAGTGAACATAAACCAAGCTCACTAACCTCCAGCCGTGATTCAGCTTTTACCAGTCCTGTGTCTGTAACCAAACCAGCTGTGTTAACCAGTGGCTCTGTTCTCACCTCTTCCAAAGAGGTAAGCGTGTATGATGGCTATAAACATGCTATAAATCAGAAGGTACTTCAGAAATTCACCAATTTCGGCTCTCTCTAGAAAATCATGAATTACAATAGATTTTAACAATGCAATTGCTCTCTTCCCAGAGTCCCTCTAGTACCACCCCTCCTATTGAAATAAACTCCTCTCGCTTGACAAAGCTGATGCGCCGCACCACAGATAAGAAGAGTGAGTTCTTAAAAGCTCTGAAGGATGACAGGAATGGAGAATTGCCAGAGCGCCATGAGAACAACAAATTGGAGGATGTAAGGGTTCCGTGTCTTTTTTTTTTAAAAAAAAAAAAATAATGATGTCAAGAGATGTTTTTAAATAATTTTTTAGTATTTCTTACATGCATATTTAGCAAACTTGGTACTTTCTGCAAGTGCTAGCGTATGCATCGTGATTCTGGTTTCTGTCATGTATAAAATGTGGAAAATAAAAAATGTGACAAATATTAATGATAGTTTTGAAGATAGGAGTGGTGCATAAGCAAGTTTTGTCTTCCTGTTTCTGTGATTGTTGTATATAATTTATAGAAATGTAAATAGTGTCATTTTGGAGGACAAAATAAAATAATGAAGTTATTCTTAATCCTATAAATACAAAGTATATGGCATAAACAATTTTATCATTGTGATAATTGGAATTTCTTTTCACCTTTCGGAATGAATAATATATACCTTTCTTTGAAGAAAATGATCTGATCTAGATACTATTTTCTTTAAGGCTTCATGCATTTTTTGCAACAGTGCACAGTTACTTTCCCATACATTAGTTCAACAGATGGGAATTCTCAATTATTACAGTGACGGCGGAGTTTGTTACTATTTTTAATTTTGATCCTGTGTTATAAACTCATGCAGACCATTCTCATTTAACTATAATTGGGACTAGTAATTCCACTGTTGAATGATGTGATTGTAAAATGCAATATCATGTACCATAACCAATTTATAGCAGCAGTTGCAACAGAACTGCTGTCATTAAGGAACTCCACATGGCTAAGTGCAACATCATGTGATAACAATTTATGACACCCCCCCTTCCTCATTGACTTTGCTTGCCGAAGTTGGCAGTGAAGGTTGCATGTAGTGCTCATTACTGTAGGATACTGCAACTGTCTTAATTGTGAGCCAGTTTTCATGATTACATAATACCAGAGATGCTGCAATGACCATCTTGTTCAGCATCATTGTAACAGTTGATAGATAAGCGATGGGATATGGGATGAAGAGATAGATAAATGTTTGTAACTTTAGACAGAGTGAAGTTACTAACTTGGTTTTATACTTACAATGAAGGTTGGAAGTCACTTTTTTGTATTATGTTTCTCTTTTTTCTTATACTTTTTACTCCTATATTTTAACTTTAGTTTGTATTAGATGTTATTATAATCACAATAATAATAATTTTATTATAATCACAAGTCTTAACAAAAATATATTGTAAATTAAACCGTAGAACTACAGTAGCTATTAGCATTTTTTGATAGTCAGTTGTTTCTAAGTGTTAGTTTGAAGAGGTTATTAGCCTCATCATAAAGCCTATACTTCCTGAGCATGTAATTTAGAAAACTTTCTGAAATATTGATTTATGCTATTACACAACCATGATTTTGATGTGTCTTTTGTTCCTAACTAGGTGGACGGTGGTAGTACAGCAGAACCAAAGGAAAACTGGGAGGAGAACTGCCATCAGAATGGGCTTTCTTTGCCTTTGGAAGAGGGAGAGAATCTTTCTCATTCTTTAGAAGCAGAACACAGGTGAGAAAAAAGGCAATTGGTCTGGAAAATATTAACCCACCAGAAATGTATAGAAATCAATAGAGGTTTAACCAGCTCTAGAAGAAGACCTTGTGGTTTCTTGACGTAGCCCCATCACTCCATATCATCCAGTACAATACAATAAAAGTTTTTGGCTTCTTGTAATGAACATTATTTGATACCCTGTGATTGATACACTCTGATGGAAGCATTGCCCTTTTGCCATTTCTTATTGAAATGTTTCACAGGAGAGGGAAAGGAATGCCCCTCCTTATTGATGAGGCAAGAATAATTGCATGGAAACAGTCTTTAATGTCCTAATCATATATTCCTCAGTCTTGAAACCTGTATGAGGTTTGAATTGAGGCACAATTCAATCTGGCTAAAGAGCTGCTTCATCAGACACAGCAGGAGGATGACATCTGCCTCTACCCAGTCCGTTTTAGCAAAGTAGAATGGGGTGAAAGAAGATCATCTTTTTCTGCTTACTGTCAAAGAACCAAAACAATAAAGACTTTATTTAAAAACAAGTGTACAATATAGTATAAAACAATTATTCAAGTATGTAATTTAAGTTATTTGAGAACAAATTATTTCATTAACAAGACATAAGCAACAAATAAATTTTAATATTTAAATCACAGGGTCCTCAGACTGGACCTGCAGTTGTCCAGGTGAGCTTGCAGACAAAGTGAGGAAGAAAGCCCAAAATAAGTTTTGACAGTGCCTCCCACTGTCTATGCAAGGCTGATCAATATAAAAATAGCGATTTCCCCCCTTATATCCAATTGTTTATAACCCCCAAGGAGTTACAGCACACAGTTTGAGAACCTTGTCTTGGTACTTCTTTATCCCCATTCTCACTTTTTTTTAACTGCTTCATTTGACTCTTAGCCTAACCTACTTTATTAAAGTATTTCTCCCCTACAGAGCAATATTGTAAAATAGCTGTGAATTTTCTTGTGCTTTAAAAGGAATAAAATCTCTTTTCCTCCCTAATGACATCTTTAATCCAGTCCCTTTTCTATTTATTCTTTACCTTTTCCATGCTAGATTACTGAAAGCAATGGGATGGCAGGAATATCCTGAAAACGATGAGAATTGCCTTCCCCTCACAGAGGATGAGCTCAAAGAGTTCCAAATAAAGTCAGAGCAGGTATGTTCAACTGCTTACTCTTTTAGCATCATTTTATTTTGTAACTCACATGTTGAAACCTCTGAGAACATTGACTACAATAAACTATGAAGTCAAAATTAAATAATTTTGTTTTGGTGAGTCTGAGAACAATACATTTTGAGTTTCTTTTGAATGAAAAGGAGAAACAAGTATGAAAATGTTCTTTCCTTTGTCTCTAGCTAAGAAGAAATGGCTTTCGGAAGAGTGAGTTTCTTCGAGGCCAAGGCAGCAGTCAACTATTCTCCCACTGGAGAAGCACTTTTAAGACAGAGTTTGAAGAGTCAGATACAGAAACAAGTAGCAGTGAAACCTCTGATGACGATGCCTGAAGATGGGCACCCAAAATCCATAATATAAAACCAACCCAGCAAACTCACGTTTGTAGTTCAGCACATAAATGTTTGGGGTTCGAATGAAGCAGAGTTTATTCTATCTCAAGTCTGTTCAGTTTTTTATTGTTGAAAACTTCATGCACAAGGGAAAGAATTATATCCCAAAGAAGAAAGCTATTGGCTTACTACTTTTTGATTTTGCCCTTCTGTGCTTCAAAGAGAACAATCCATTCCGCCTTCTGGAGCAAGGCGTGGGTTCAGTCTCATCAGGAGCAGGATGCAAAAGACTTAGGTTGGGCAACCACAAGCTTCTCATACTGCCGTCCACATTGCAAAATGTCGTGCGGCAATAATGTGCTAAAACAATCATTGTCAATGACAAAATGGCTACGGAAGTTCTAATTGTGTTAAATTAATGCTAATAACATGGAACTTTTTTATTTTTTGGCGGCTCGGGGAGCTTCATCACTTAACCAGGCGTGTTTGGTTTTTCTTTTTTGGGGGGGTACAGCTGTAAAATATTTGGATATAGGAATTGTTTGTGTTCTTGCAACCTTGATATTCAGGGTGGATTGTTAAAATATAAAATTTTTGTGGGATTTCAAAGATTAAGATTATTTTGATAACATTATTTACAGATTTTAAAAAGTGACTATCACATTGAGTCTGTATGAGGGGAAAAACTACTGCATCAAAAGATAACTAACTTGGAATAAATATTTTGCATCAGTTTGCCAATTCTGAGTCTGTCATTTCTCAAGTTATTAGTTTAGATTTCTTAGATAAGACTTTCTTGTATTTCAGTCTTCAGATAGCAGTAATTTTTCAAAAGCAGAGATCTAATTTGCTTGTTCTTGATGAATAAATGAATCACTCCAGTCCTATACGTAGGATAAGTTTATATTTACAAAGGATATCTATAAAACAATATGAATTTCTCATCGGTAATGAAAATGTTCACATTAAGTATATAACAAAACAGATAAATTGGGCAGTGATTATCCTTGTATAAATCTAATGTTTAATTTCTGATATAGTATACAAGGAGCATGGAAGTATAGTAGTGCATGTATTGCTTTTGTCAAGATTCACTAACTTGTAATATTTTTAAGTTTTAGCATTTGAACATTTAAAAAAATGGTTTTCTATCAAATGAAGTATGACTTTCGGGACATGTTTGTATAATTCTCTTTGGAATAATATAGAAGCCATTGCTTTTGCCTTCTTCCAGGATGGGTTTTTTTTTTCAATTTTTTTAATATAAGCTATAGTCCTGAAATTTCCTGGTAATTTTCTATCCAAATACTACCCACGTGCATCCCTTAGTTTTGAAAATCATTCAAGATTGGCTATAATTAAATTCCCACAGAAGAGATCTTTATGAGCACATCCATACTTTAATCTGCCAAATCTCTTAGACTGTACTGGCATCCAAAGTACTACATTCCTAATGGTCAAGGAACAAGACACTAGAGCCCGCTGATTGTTTTAGGACACCGGACACCAAAGGGGTTTTTGCTAAAAAAAACCAAAAAGATTTGCCAAGCTAGCAATCATTAATTAGGATTAAAGGAAGACAACCTACAAAGTATTTAATTTGTAGAGTCAGTCTGATTACTGTACATAATAGAAATCAATAAACCTCAACTTCATGCAGCACTCTCCTTGCCAGCTAGGCAAAAAGCATCTGTGTGATGCGAGTATTTCAAATTGCATGTTAAAATTATAATGAGATACGGTGTTTGGAAAGAATACATTCTTTAATTGTTTTTGGATTAGTTTTTTTAATTGTTGACAGTGCTGCATTAGTAAACAGTTCTGTATCCTAAGATCATAATAAAAGTATTTATATTCATGTATTCTTTCAGGTGTCCATGGACTATGTCACAAGGATTGCATAGTAAGCACTACACACAAAAGCTCCTAAAGCAATTAGTCATATCCCTCCAAACATTCCTGTAGTTGAAGAACCCTTAAGTGGGATGCACAAACTACTTCCATGACATAAAACATGTAGAATACAACTTTAGAATCTTTCTGAGGAATTTATTTCAGCAGAATATCAAAATGCCTTTCTCTTTGGATGACCTTACTTGCAGTGCTTGAATCTAGAACAGCACCAAACGGCAAAAGACATTACAGTGGAGAATAATTCTGTTTTAATATTTGAAAGTACATGCCCATGTGAGACAAAAAGTCATTCATGACTAGAAATATTTTAAGTGACCAGAAACATTTTAAAAGGTTTTCTACAGCAACTGCAAACAAAAATGATCTGACTCTTATTTCACCTTTTACAAACAATAATATAACTGCTTTCTTTTTCAAAAGTTAAAAGTGTGCTAAAGTGGATGAAGTACCATCACTGTCTATAAACTGGCTCTTCATTTTGGGATATTGAGATGAAAATTACCAGGGATTGTAATTAGTAAAATCCTTTCTTTGTATCCTGGACATGGTAAAAAGCAATGCTTATAATTTATTGAGAAATAAATTATACAGTATGTGTGTGTATACATATATACATATACACAATTTATTTCTCAAGTGCTAAACCAATCAGTGTATATGTGTATATATTTCTGATAACTAGGCATCAGCAAAAGTCTAACACTGAATTATATTCCTAGTTAAATAGTTGAAAAAAATAGAAATGTATACACTTCAGAGAAATATTGGCATCTCGGACTAGAGAAAGTGTGCATCCTGGTACCATAAATGTATTAGCTCAACTAGACCAAAATCCATTTTGTATGCAGTAATAGAGGCTCCAGTCATGAGATCTAAAGATAAATTTCCATGAATTTAATCGTGACAAATGATGAAAAAGACAGGTTCTAAAGAATTGCTCTTCAAATATTCTTCTGGAAAAATGACCCAGCTTCACAATACTAAGGTGACCAACTTTTTTACAATGAAAAGGGGGACACAAATAAATTGAAGAAAAAAATATCATAAATAAAAAACATTTTATTCATTGCAACAATAATACAGAATACACTAATATAAATGCATAATAAAAAACATTTGTAACAATAACCTTATATTGCTTACATGCCTATTAATTATTATTTAAATGAGTACTTTTCCATTGAATGAATATTTTTGTCAATGTATCATCTTCTAACAATATATTGGAAATATCTGAACAAGAAATATCCTTCATATTGAATTTTACGGCAAGTGCTGCAACTAGAGTATCAATGTTCAATCTCGATTTCTCACTTTTCCAAAAATCATTAGCAACTGAAAAAACCCTTTCAACTGCTGCATTAGTTCCAGGGTAGCACAATGTAAATTGAAAAAGAATAAATTTTCACATGGAATATATTCATTTTTGAAATGGCTGAATGTTTCCACCCATCTTTTATCAATTTCAACGTGTTTATTTTCCCATTGTATTAATTTTTCAGAATTTAAAAATACATTCAGTCTTCTAATTTCTTTAAAGAGACAATTGTTTATTTTAATGTCTGGCATTTCTTTGGATAAAAACTCAACACAAGATTCAATATCTGTCCAATATACTTGCGATGAAGTCAAAAAACACCATTGAAAACTGTTATTTCCTGTGATGTTTGTTTCAGACCATTTTTTGATATATTGAAAATATGTTTGGTAAAAATTCTGCACTTCTTTGATAAACTTTTCCGTTATGCCTGGATTTGATTCCTCTAAGTCTGACAATTTTCTTTTTATAACTAAAGGAAGAAATTTTTCTTCAAATCGAGTTTTATATTGAAGGATAAAGGCATTCAAAATAAGACTAACTTCTGTAACTGAAATGTGTTCACCTTCAATCTTTTGAATTGTTTTGTGAAAAATAGATGTTTGATTATATACAAAATACATTAATATCTCAGATATTTCATTATTGAAAAACGATTCCAGGATTTTAGGACATTTGTCTAAACTTAAAAAATATGAACAGAGAGGCATATTTTACAACTGGAAGCAGATGCATCTGATGATTGCTTATGTTTCTTGGTGGTCAAGTGTTTCGTAATAGCTGCTCTGCCACCAACTGCAATACAAAATTCTCTGCTGCAAATATTGCAGAAAACAGTGTTATCCTTTGATGTGATGAATGGAAATTCCTTATTCAATTTATCGTTGAAATGGCATTTCCTTTTTTTTTTAATTTTTCCATCCTTAAATGGAAGTTAGTCTCCTCCAAGTACCTTCGGGACTAACTAGGAGATGGTGTAGTTGGGTAGCAGGGAGGGGTACAAAGTTCCTGCCAATTCACCTTCACTGCAGACAACTTGCATGTGCAAAGTTTGCCAGCCGGGTGTTTTGGTGCACTCAGCATCAATTCCTATTCCATCAAAAAAAAGGTGCCAGAACACTGTTCTGAGCGTTCTATGAGAAAAAAAAAAGCCCTGCAGATTAGTCTTCAAATATCGAAAAGGAGAACATGTAGGAGCTTTTCGAGGGAGGACAGAACTTAAAAAAGGACAGTCCTCCCTAAAGGAGGACGGTCACCTTACGAGTCCACAGCACCTGGTATCTCCTACTTAAATTCTACCCAGGTCTAGTCCTAAGATTTTTCACTATTGGACAAAGGCATCTAACCACTTGCACTCGCTATGACTTACGCCCTAGTGATGTCTTGTTTATTAATATTTATAAGTGGTCATTTTAAATTAAGAGGCTATTTGAGAGCCAAGATAGATCTACTAATGTTTTGAAATAGCAGAAGAAAACAGGCAAATTTCACTCCCAAGGCCAGAGCTCAGCTGCAAAAATCCTGCAGACTATACACTTTAATGTACGTGATGGCGAAGAATTTAATCTGTTTACAGCGATCTCCCGAAGACTGACGGTCCAGTATAATAGGTCTAACACAATAAACTACACTCGTTATTAGTTTACTTTTACAACCATCTATATCGGGTAGGCAACCTTGGTTCTTTTATGACTCGTGGACTTCAACTCCCACAATTCCTGAGCCAGCATGGAAGTTGGTCCACGAGTCATAAAAGAGCCAAGGTTGCCTACCCCTGATCTATATGCTTCGTTGCATATCGTTTACAACTGTTTAACGTCTCTCTTTTACACTGTATCTTGTGCCTTAACACCGTGTAGAAAACTGATGATCAGTTACTGGAAACCTCCCGATCCAAGCAGCAAGTGCAGCACGTTCCTCTCAAAAACGATCCCTGCCAAATAACAGCCTCACAATCATAAAGAACTTGCAGCCCGTCCCCCTGTCGAGCAATTATCTGAAAAACAAGCCGAGTACACCGAATTCGCTTCTTTTCACACAGACCATAAAGAAACCGTCCACGCCCGGTCAAGCTTATCAACGTCCTACAACCACCCGCCTCCTCCTCCTCTTTTTTAACGTCCCACTTTAATGACGCAACGACGCGCGTCAGTTGAGACGAGACACTCTTGCCGCGAGATTTCCCGTGGAACAAACCGCCCCGAAATGCTTTGCGTCCTTCTTTTTGCAGTCGGCGCCTCGGAGCAGGATGGGTGAGTTGCCAGATGGAGAGGGAGGTCGTGGTTTCATCCGCCGCCATCCGCCCCGCTAGGCCTCCCCGCGGAGCTCGCAGTCGGGTAACCGAGAGAAAGATGTTTACCCCGTTAAACGCGCGCGATATTCCGGTCGGTTTTGTGGAGCAACTGCGATTCGGCCTGCTTTGGATCCTCTTCGGCCTTTGCTGTGTGGCCGCGGTAGTTACCTCTTCTTCATGAGCGAGGGAACTGCTTGGAGCAAAAGTGCTTTCTCG